TCGATCAGCTTACACCTATTGGGTTTCAAGTTTGCCACTCCCTCCTTTCCCCCGTCCTCCCCCCTCCCCAACCCTCTGCAATCCAACTCCGTGCATGTCCTTTCCTACCACCTCCACCTCCACCCCCCCCGCCGGGCCGCACACACCTGGGCTTCCTGAGTCCAGCTCTCCAGTCCGTGCCTCCTGACGTACTGGGAGGTCCACTGCAGGTGCTTGTGCGCGGCGATCACGAGGGACTCGTAGCTGGGGCCGTGTGTTCACGCAGGTATGTGTTTTTGTGGGGTTTCGGGAGGCCATGAAGGAGGAAGGAGGGTGTGTGGAGGCGCCAGATGGTAAAGTTAGATGGTAAAGTGCCGAGACCCCTCCGTAGCGCCATCAGGAGGTGGCGGGGAGGGGCAGGGGCAGGGTGGGGGGTGGGGGGTGGGGGAGAGCGAGGGTGGGTGCGAGGGGGGTGGGCGGGGGGCAAGGGGACGCGAGAGCTGAGCACTTTAAAGACACACGCACACACTCACACACACACGCACACACACGCACACATACGCATACATACATACACACACATCTTCGCAGCAACCCGACATCACCGCGCATTTGGGCCCCACTGGGATTTCACCGGGTGGTGGTGGTGGTGCAATGGGGGTGGGGGGGGAGGGGGGGAGCAATGGGGGTGGGGGAACAACGAGTCCGAGTCTGGGTCCGGATTCTCAGGGGGGGGAGGGAGGGACACCGCGGGGGCCAAACCCGCACAAACTCCCTACCTCGTCGTATCAGTCTTGGTAGCGCCATCACTTTTCTGTGCCGTACTCCCGTTCCCGAATGATGCCGTACTAGTTCCGGAGCCAGACTTCATTCGGTTCAGCATTCGGCCCAGTCCGAATGATGCCATCAGAAAGTACGGCTCGTTATCTGTATCCACTCGATCAGGAAGGGCTCCGGTTTCGGAACTGGCGAAGGACTGGAGAAACCGCTGGTAGTACCGGGCGGCGGAGCCGGCGGCGGCACTGGCCTTCGACGGTGTGTGTTGGGGTCGGAGGTCGGAGGTGGGGGTGGTGGGGGTGGGGAGGAAAGGAGAACACTTCTGGAGGAGGAAAGGGGCTTTTTAGGGGCGGTTACCCCCCCCCAGAGACACACAGACAGACACACAGACACACACAGTAGTCGGTACTTTGGACCACCACCACCACCACCAGCTACTACTACTACTAGCTTCCTCTATAAATGCATACACATTTGTGTACGTGTATGTACATATGTACGTCCGCATATGCATCTACGTATGTGTGTGTATGTTTATACCTCCCGTACGTACCTTGGCCGTCTGCCCCCCCTGGAGGTCCCGTACATCCGAGATTTCCCTGTACACGTGTGCCAGCTCCAAGTCTATGGAGCGGCTCAGCCCCGGGTAGTGGTCGGGGTTGAGGGCGCCGGAGAGCGGCTCCAGCAGCTGGCAGCGGCACCGGTGCATGGCGACGGCCCGGGAGGGGTCGGACTCGAACCCGGCGAGACATCTGCGGATGGGGGGTTGGGGGTGGATGGGGCAGTGGAGAAGGGGGGGGAAGACGAACCACGAACCCGAGTGAAGCTGCTGCCAAGGACAGAGTGTTCAAGAAGTAGAACTGACCAGTAAGCGGTTTTGAAGGAGGCGACCTCGGGATGATGTAATGATGACGACCACGGAAACCTACTTACCTACCTAACTAACTAACTAGCCGCCAAGACTAAAAAAAGCGCGGAAGAAAAGCAGTAAATCGAATCCGTAAAGAACTAAAGATAGGTGTAGATGCGGCAGAAAAGTAGTAAAAAACTGCTGACGTGAAGCTGGAATAAAGTTTGCCGCCGGCCTGGCGGCGGCATTGACGAGCTCCCCCCTCCACCTCCCCCCTCCACCTCCCCCCTCCACCTCCCCCCTCCACCTCCCCCACCCACCTCCCCCACCCACCTCCCCCCTCCACCTCCCCCACCCACCCTTCCATATTCGTACACTCACATACATCCGGTTTAGAGCATCGTGAGCACGAGAGGTTTCCTTCCTACCTACCTACCTAGTATCTACATGCATACGTACATACATACATACATACATGCATATTACTTACGCACCTGTACATATTACTCATGTCCAACCGGATTCCCACGTGATCCGTTACCCAGCCGTCCAACTGGTAGTACGACAACGCCGCCTTGAAGTACGGCATGCCCGTATTCAGTAGCTCCCGTGCCCCCTCGAAGTCAGCGGCCAGGGCGGCCTCACCCCACGGGAACGTGTCGGGGGACGGTACGGCCAAACCCGAGAACCTGACAACCACCGGGTTTGGCAGTTGGGGGGTTGGGGGAGGAGGGGGGGTAAGGAATGGATCACCGCGACATGTGTACGTATGTGTGTATGTTGCGGTATGGTGCCGTACGGTGCGGTATGATGAGGGGAACGGGCGGGAGGGGGAAAAATGGCTCTCAAAACCCTAAAACCCTAGCTGGGACACCGATAATGACGTGTTCACATTGTCCATAGGCACAAGGAGACTCGGTCCGCAAGTACGGGACTATATTAAGGGCCAGTGCGGGTTCCGGAGCTAAATACGGCAGTTGTGCGGTTTTGGTTTGCGCTCACATCGGTTATTGTTTTTACATACTTGTCCTTTTCTTTGCGTATTCATATAAAGTTTCCACAACCATCCCTAACGAACCTTAACCAACCACAAGTAACCACCATGTTGATCTCGCACCTGAGGTAGTCGGGGAAGTACGACACGTCCGGATAGTGCATCTCTAGATGCTTTCCTTCCACGTGCCTAGCGTGGCTGGCAGCAAGACGCATGTTGTACACGCGTGCCGTAGCAAGCTGCAGTACGGCAGTACATCATTACAAAAACAATCAACATCAGTACATTGCCTTTTAGCTGCCGCAGCAGTCACAACAGCAGTAGCCGTTTCACACGCACACGCACACACACACACACATTCGACATTTCTATTCCTGCCCTTCAACCACCCCAACCACCTCACAACTAACCGGACCTGGATGTTTGCCGCGATGTCCTCCCCAAGTACCAAACCCGCAGCGGTGTCGCGATCCACAACTGCAACAACCGACAACCAAAAACATCAACGGGGTATTGATTCGGGGTGTCTGCGGTACGTGGTGGCCATCACTGGCGTTACCAGCACCGGTCAGAAGGAAGGAGAAGCAGTAGCAGCCGGGCCAGCAGCAGCAGTATTAGCAGCAACAGCAGTAGCAGCCGGGCCAGCAGCAGCAGTATTAGTAGCAGCAACAGCAGTAGCAGCCGGGCCAGCAGCAGCAGCAGTATTAGCAGCAACAGCAGTAGCAGCCGGGCCAGCAGCAGCAGTATTAGTAGCAGCAACAGCAGTAGCAGCCGGGCCAGCAGCAACAGTAGCAGCAGTAGCCGCCAGACGTCCCGGACTACCGGATCAATCACACAACACAATCCAGCTCACCAGCTTGCGCCGCCGCATGGCAGTACATCGCCAAGCCGTACGCGTGGACTTTGGCGTAGTAACCGCCCAACTGAAGGCAGTTATTAACCCACGTGTCAAGGTCGTACTTGCCTGTCCGTACAGAGTTCCAGTGCAGGGCCAAGGCCAAGTGCAAGAGTGGGGAAGGGATTCGGGGGGCTGGCCCCGATGGGGGCATTTCCCGGGTTGGAAGGATGGGACGTGTGTATGTATGTATGTATGTATGTATGCGCGTTTATTTTAACCTGAGCCGCGGGTTTTATGGTGTTTGACAACCGAAGTGGTGCACGAATAACTTAACCTTTGCGAGCTCCGTCGTCCAATGGTGTGGAAGGACGGTACTATTTATGTTCTTATGTCTGTCTTTATGTATTTTTATGTATGTTTTTATGTATCTCTTCATGTCTGCCTGTATGTCTGTATGTCTATCCCAACAGCGAGTACAACTGGAGTTGGAAGATCACGGAGTCCTCTTTATCGGGACTGTGCGTATGCAGAAATACAAAACACACACACAGGCGCGCGCCTATAAGTAACCACGTATACAAGTAGGTACCGTAGACACGCACCCACCCCGAATCACCGGGCCGAGGGCCCCAGATGGCAGGACCCACCGGCCCCTCATCGCCCCCCACAGCCCCCACACCAGCCCCTAACGACCAACCGGAAGCCAGTTGGCGGTACAGCGTGGCTGCGCAGTACAAGGCGGACCGATCCTGGGCCTTCATGTGGCCGTACACCTGCGCCAGGTAGAAGAGCGTCTTCGTGTACTGCAACTGTACGGCGTCAGGGTCATTGTCCGGAAGCTGCGACGGCAGGGGCGACGGCGACAGCGGATCCACGCGCTGCTCGCCTTCCGGGGCGGCCTCCGCCTCAACCTCCGCCGGGCACCCCGCTTTGTGTGCCCCTTGTGGAGCCCCCATCATCTCCGCAGCCGAGGCAGCAATACCGGCCTCAGCAGGCCCTCCACTACTGCCGCCGCCGCCGCCTCCGCCACCTGGTCCTTCTGCTACAGCCCCGGACGGCCCGGAGGCGTCACAGTCCTCGCAGCTGCCACTGTCCTGGCCGCCCTCGGAACCTTGTCCTTGTCCTTGTCCTTGTCCTTGTTCTTGTTCTTGTTCTTGTCCTTGTTCTTGTCCTTGTTCTTGTCCTTGTTCTTGTCCTTGTTCTTGTCCTTGTGTGTTCTGCTGCTGCTGCTGTTGCTGCTGCAGCAAGTGTTGTCCTGCGGGCTTGGAGCTGTCACCGTTGGTACCGTTGGTGCCGTTAGCACCGTTACTGCTGCTGCTATCAGGAGGAGATGTGGCGGTGGCGGTGGCGGTGGCGGCGGCGGCACCTCCAGCGATGGGCAGCACCGTGAGATGTGCACTCCGGGTTCCCGTACCGGTGATCCGCCGGTAGAGCTCCTCGGCCTGCTTGAGCCACTTCAGGGCTACTGGCAGGTCGCTACGATCGCTGCGGACGTGGAATGATGGAATGGTGGGTGCAACGATGCATGTGGGATGGATGTGGGATTGGTTTTGTACGTGAATGATGCGGAGTGGATGCGGAATCACGGCGTGGACAGGGTCCCGCGTGGAGAAGAGGGAGGAGCTATTAACGTATGGTGGGTACGAGGGGGAGGCGATGGTGGGTGCAACGAGAGGAGGAGAGGAGGCGGCGGAGGCCGCGGCGGCAGCGGTAACGTGGTGTGGCGTGTGATGTGGTCTGTGGGAGGAGTGGAGAAAGGGGTAGTGCTGAAAAAGGACAAGGAGGGGACCCCCGGTTCAGAACGGAGGATGGTAATCATGTGTTTGCGTGTGCGACATAGCGAAGGCATGACTCGAGTGTGGATATGCCGTACGCAACGCCGTACACGCGGGTGCAACAGCCGACCCCGAACAGGTTTAACACATTCCCAGTTTCCTGCGCCCCCACACGAAACCGCCCCTTCTCTTTTTTTCCAGTCAGTCCCCTAAAGCTTTGGTCGCCTAACATTTCTCCTGGCAAACCCACGTCTCAACAGGCAGGCAACGGACCTGTAGAGCGCGCCAAGAGCGTTGTACGCCTCAAGCAACCATGCCATGTAGGCTTCAGGAGCCTTCTCGAGAATGGGGAGCCCAGCTTTAATGCTAGATTCACCATCGGATAAGAGGTCTGTTTCCAACAGGATGAGACCGCAGCGAATTCGTGCGGCTGCGGCCGCTAGCTCCTCATCGGAGGGTTGCGCCGAAACTGGCACGCTATCCGTGCTACTGCTAACCGCCTCGGCAGAGTCCGAGGAAGCTCCCTGCTGGCCTGGAGCATCGGTTGCTGACGCTGATTGACTTTTGCTGCTCTCTGCGTTTGATGCGGGCTCTTCAGAGCAAATGGCGCGCTCACCCAGAAGTTTCTTCAACAAATCCGCCGCTTGGTATTTGTTTTTGTATGGTTGGGCTTCATCCTCTTCTTGGCAGCTGGTTGAACAAGCCTCCCGAATGCCGGCAATTAAGCCTTGTGTCGTGGGCATGTTAGAATGCTCAAAGGCACAGACCTGGAGGGTTTAATAGTCACCAAAAAAAGATCATAGCAAAATATTGACGGTGGATTTGGCGTTGCATTACTTGCAGAGTACCTAATGTGGCAGAAAAACAGGGCTTCCGTAAATCCCGTTCGCAACTTTTGTCATAACTTTTGTCATTTCACGTTCACACTAGTTCATGTATATGCCATGTTAACCATGCAAACAGGTTGCCAACATGCACGTAGCAAACACTCCCTAGCACTTGTATACCTGACGCAGTGACGCTGTCTTTTATCGCTGCATAGTTCTATCACAGGCTTCCAACAGCGCCGGTCTGTTGCACATACGTAGTTTCAAGGGATTATTTTTCACAAAGGATTAAGAATAACTGCAGAACTGGAGCTCAACCGACGTTGCTCCGTGACAAAGTTCCATCTGCTGGCTCCCCGTCCTCGGGATGAATCGACAAGACGTTCCATACTTTCCTTTAGATGCCGGTCCAACAACCTCTGATCGCGACTACAAGGTCAAGCCTCGACCAAGCAGCACCAAAGATGCGGCTCAGCTCAAGCGCGCAAACTCAATATCCTATAAGGGCGTCCTGGGCAGTGAGCTCCCACAGGGAATACGCCAAAGAGACAAGGTAATCCTGATGCGCCCAGTTTGCGCTCATCTCATCTCTTCGACTCGCGGGCACTCAGGCACGGGTGGGCTCGCGTGCATCGTCCACTTGCCCACAGCTCAACTCCCCTCCTGGTGTATTACCAACCTCGCTTGCCTCCCCTTATCCGCCTGCTTCTCTCCAGCTACCCGCGCTATCTACTTCCGGTCTCACCCTCCTATCCTTCCCCACCGGTCCATCTCCCCTGCAGTTTGTACCTCTCCCTTTGGACAGCAGCAGGGGCGCTTCCCCTGGGCGGGCTGAGGAGGAGGCAACCCTCAGCGAAATAGCCTCAGTGGCTCCGGGCACCTCGGGACGAGCCAGGTGGGCCGATGTGGGTCGGGCGTAGCTTCGTGCTGCCGTGCTGCTTGAATGCGCACGACGCGTTTGGGAGGGCCCCAACAAGGGGCGGATAAGGCAGGGCCCGGACCAGAGGATTGCCCCGTGTGCCGCTGGGTTTGGGATGTTGGCGGTGGAGGTCAATGGCGGGAGGTACCAGGTGGTGGTGCTGCGGGAATGAATGCATGGTAAGAGGTTCTCGAAGGCAGGCCGAGGGGGGGAGGGTTCCCTCGCGACTGTCTCATGGCCCGAAATAAGAAGTTTCGGAGCATATAGAATCTGGCAGCAGCAGCAGCACCTGCAGCAGCAGCAGCACCTGCCGGTTCCCCACAGGGCGGAGGGCGGAGGGCTCGCATCCGATATGACCACGGAGTTCCCTTGGCATTCCGTGCTCTGGGCTCTGGCAGTGCAGCAGCGGCACCGGCACCGGCACCGGCAGCGGCAGCTCAGGCAGCACCATACCAGTGGCGGGTGCTGTTACTGCAGCACTGCTCATGCGCTCTACATGTGCGGTTACATGTGCGGCTACACAAACGCATGTACATCTACGGTACGGCGCTACGGTACTCAATCACGGGACTCAATCCTCCCTCCCACCCGGGCGCCACCCCACGGACCACCAGACACACCCACCCACCTGGCTGCATGCAACCTTAGCCCACAAACCATCCGCGCCAGCAACCCAGCTGTGTCGTAATACTTCCTGTAAAACAAGCACCCGCATACGCGCCGGTATGCTGCTGCTGCACGCATCGCCACGACCTCTCACCGCGACAGCTAGCTCACCACCACGCTACCCTGTAACCATAGCCATGCAAAAACCACGTCGTGCCTCTCGACTGCACATGCAAACACACACATTTTCTCTCACACAGACACTCTCTCACTCACACGCACACGCACACAAACATTCTCTCACTCACACGCACACGCACACATACATTTTTTCTCTCTCACGCACACACATTCCCTCCCTCCCACTCACTCACAGGATCACGGTGTACTGTGTCGCCGAGTCGTTGGATCGGGATAAGCTCGAGTCGCTCATTCGAATCAAGCACCCGAGTAAGGGGGGATGTCCGCGAGCCGGGGATGTGGTGTGGTGTGTGCATGTACGTATGTCTGTGTGTCCTACGGGGGACAGCTGGGTGGTTGGGTACGTGTGAGAAGCTTTCTCGTGCGGGTGGGGGGCCGGGTGGGGGTGGGGGAGGTGGTTAGGGGAGCAGGGGAGGAGGGGGCGGGGCTGCAGTAAGAACTGGCGAGCTCTGCAAAACCGTGAGAAAAGGGGATCCGAATACACAGCTATGGTGCTCGCAACGGCAAGGCGGAAAAGGGAATAAAAAAACAGTAGGAAAAAAGCGATATCAACCGGTTTCGAACGCGAGCGGGATGCGAAATCCGCCACCGAGGAACTTTGGACTTTTAATTTTTATATTCAGTATTTTCAGGACCGCAGCGAAAGCAAGTGGGCAGGTGGCAGGCAACAACCGATGCCCTTCACCGCCCTTCACCGCCCGGTGCTCCACAGTCCTGTAACGACGCAAAAAGCCAATCTGAGCATCCAGGGTTACGGCTTTGCTGTGTTACAAGTCCCCTCTCGCCCAAGGCCCAACCCGGGAGAGCGACAGAGCGACAGAACGACAGAACGGCACATTCCACAATTACCGATAGGGGTAAAAGAAAGGAAGTCACATACGCACATGGCACATGGCACGAGCGACCCAAACCATTTTTAAATTTTAAATCTCCAAAGAGGCGGGAAGGATGTTTTTGAGGGCAGTGTGTGCGTCGTTTTGCAAACCCTAAGGATAGGGTCTAGGAATAGAGCATAGAGAAGGACGTATAATATATATATATACATATATATATGTATATAATATATATAATATATATAGGCTTTTTTTGAGAGGAAGGGTAGGTATACTCGCCCTCACCCCACGTTTTCTTTTTCCTGTGACTGTGCCAGCTTGGGAGACGCACCGATACGAGGATGTGATACATGCGCGCCTGCCGGGACCGATGGCGCTTGGAGGATGGTACGGCAGTACGATAGGCGGCGCTGCCGGGGATGAGGCGGCGGCGACGGCGGTGATGGGGATGCCGTCGACGTCGGGGGCTAGCGGCTTAGCGGTGGGGGCCGCTCTGGGGCCCCCCGACGTGTTTTTCTTTGACGTAAGTTTGCCGTGTGTGTGTGTATGCCGCCGTACATCTACAGGGATTGCAGTGGGCTATGGGGGGAGAGGAGGGATCTGGGCACGATGACGATTACCAGACGTGACGAGGAGCTGGGACCGGGGGGGGAAACCCGGGGGGAAACCCGGGGGTGCGAGGCGGTCCTGGAAGGGGTTTTATACACACACACACTATTTAAACACACATACATTATTTAAACACACATACACACCACACACACACACACATACAGCCGCATGCTGGCGGCATTGCAGGGGTTTTGCACTCCAGGCTTCGCTGCGAGTCACCGCCGACTCTATTCCGTCCTCTCTTCCATTCCCCCCCCTCCCCTCCCCCTCCTCTCCCATGCACCCTGCCACCGCATTATGATGACCTCCGCAAGGGCGGGGGGACAGGACCTCCTTCCCCCTTCCGCCACACACCCGCCACACAGCCCTCCGTGGCTTATTAGGAACAGGAGCGTTAAGTGAGTGAGCCGTTTCCGTTCCTTTTTGTTTTTCTCTTTGACTTTGACTAACGGCGTCCCGTACCTCCCCTGTTTTGCCTTTCCTTCCTTTTGCCGTACCCCATGTACGGCATGCCCTATTCTTTTGCCTTGCCTCTCACCGCTGCAAATACACCGCCGCCGACGGCATTCCTTCCTGAATATCCCGTACGGCAGTACGGCGTGGTGGCGTTCTGGGGCTTGCTGCAGCAGCAGGTGCAAGGGATCCCATCCGGCCCCCGGGGTGGGGTGGGGGGTTTTGGGGAACGATGGGGGTGGTCGATGTGTATGTGTGCGGTGTTGGTGGTCATGGTCCATGATGGCGGGAGGGCCCGCGGTCGAGCGGTGTTTCGTTTCTTTCAATGAGGGAGTGAGGTTGTCTAGTGCAGTGCAGTGCCGTGCCGACTTCCCCGCACATCCCACCCCAAACACCGCCGACACACACCGCCGCACACGGGGGGGAGGACCTTCCACTTCCACGTCGTCTCCTCAATACTTTTATTTGTTTGGATATTTGTTTGCATATTTGTTTGCATATTTGTTTGAATATTTGTTCTAATATTTGTTTGAATATCTGTTTGGAGAAGTTAGCGACATCGGCGCACACACCTATTTGTGTTCATTCCTTTGCCAGCGGGGGCTGATATTCGCGTTTGCCAATATGTACGAACACCAGGTTGATGACACGTGTTCACATGCACTTGTATGTAGACGTGCCATCAACTACTGCCCGGCTCCTGCTCTAGTAGTACTCGATTCGCAAGTCGGTGCCCAGCAGGGCCCTCTCGCCTCCCTCTTCCCACCTCTTTCCCCACCTCTCACCCCCCGTTTCTTCCCCCTCCCTCTACCCCCCCTTCCCCCCTTCTTTTCCCCTCTCTCTCTCTCTCTCTCCCCCGCACCACCACCACCACCACTACCACCACACACACACACACGCACCGGGTCAGGAGCTGGCGACTCTGCGCTCCGTGGCGCAATCCGCGGAGCAAAACCCCCTCACCCGGTACGAGAAGGACGAGTTCACGTTCAACATCAGCGTGTCGGAGCCGCCGCACATACAGAACGACACCATAACCATCAACCGCCGCCAGGCAACGGACTATCAGGTAGTTAGTTGGACGTTCATGTGGTTGGACCTGCCTTCGCAAGGCCGGGCGGTTGGCGGAAGGTTGTCTCGGGGTGGGTGGGCGCGGCCTTGATCCGACATTTCCTGTGTCGGAAGGCAGACGGAGTGTTGAACCAAGTACGGCTGGCGGCTATACGTGAAGTACGTGAAGCACGTGAAGCAGTGAGAAGTATGGGGAGTCCATGTTGAAGGGCCTTTATCTTCGCTGTGTTTGGATCAAGCCAAATACTTCAATGCGTGGGACAGACAGACAGACAGGAGGAAGGTTGGTGTTAATCATTCCCCCCCCACCCGCCAACCACCTCTCATGCCCCCCCCGGCCCCCCCGACCCCGGTAGGTCCGCCTAGCCATTAGCCACGCCCTGGCCCAATCCACGAAATTGTCGGTGTACGAGGAGGAGGTAGTGGCGCTGGTTGAGGAGTCAAGACACCTACCCCAGGTTCGTACATCCGTACGTTCGTACGTGGCGTGGCAGGTGTATTCCCGGGCGGGTTACAGTCGTACCTGGGGCCCTTGTACCGAGCGAACCAGCAACAAGGGCGGTCGCGAGTGGTGATGCCTGTGATTAGTGCTTGGGCCGTTGTGTGCGTGGGGGATGGTGTGTGTGAGGTGCTTGCGGGGGGCTGCATGTGGGGGTGTGTATGTGTGGGGTGGGGTGTTGGGGGAATGAGGAGGGGGAAATGGGAAGATCTGTCCGGGACATGGGCGGCTGGGCGGTTTCATCAGCTACACATACATAACGAAGGCACACACACACACACACGTGAACATGTAAACATGCAGGAACCTGCAATCCCGCAATCCCGCGTTCCCCCGGCCCGCGCCCTGCCTCACACCGCCATCACCCCCGTCGCGTCCCCTGTGGGTTGCTCGGTGCCTTGCCTCCGAAAACCCTCAGCCTCCGAAACCATTCCAACGTCAAGCCCCTTAACCTCCGAAACCACCCACTCACCCACCCACCCGCCCACCCTGACCCTAACTAGGACCTTGCCGACCACGGCCGCGTGTCCATGTCCACCAAGAAGCTGACCCAGCTGATCGGCAAGGTGTTCCTGCAGTCCTCCACCCTCAACCTGCTGTCCTCCGTCATGGATACGCCCGAGTTCTTTTGGAGTGCACCAGACCAACTGCAGGTGCGTATGTATGTATGTATGTATGTATGTATGTATGTATGTATGTATGTATGTATGTATGTATGCGTGTATGTGGAGGGGGGAGATGGGGAACGATCGGCGAGTGAGGGGAAGGGGAAGGTGACCCGCATCCGCCATTCAGCTTCTAATCACCCGCACACGCCGTCGTACATCCAGTACGCCACGTACCCAATACTCTACGCACACTCCCCTCCTGTAATATTGGCCCTCATCGTTGATCGTGGGCCAAGCCACTCCGGCCGAATCTTCATCACATCGGTGTTAACCCAGCTCCCTTCTCCTAACCGCCTGTGCCACTCCCTCACCTCCTCCTGGCAGCTTCCGGACCCCCGCAGTCCATTCCGATAACGGACACACCTTGTTCCGCGGAGGAACCCGCTCCCGCTCCCGCTCCCGCGCTTTCAACTGCCACATACACATCCACGCCAGCACCACCATCACCACCACCATCACCACCACCATATCACCACCACCATCACCACCACCATCACCATCACCACCACCATCACTACCACCAGCACCATCGCCAACACCACCAGCACCACCACCAGCACCATCCACTCGCCACCATCCACTCGCCAACACCAGACTCCACATCCGCATCCCTGGTTTCCCGCAACTTACCCGTGTTTCCACCTCCCCGAATTTTCCCGAACCATAAGGCCCTGTACGAGCGTGCGTGTGAGTATTTGGAGCTGGACACGCGTGCCGAGGTGCTCAACGCTCGGTTCCAGGTCCTGCAGGAGATGCTGGACATGCTCCGGGACCACAAGAACAACTCCCATGCTGCCCGCCTGGAGTGGATCATCATCTGGCTCCTGATGGTGGACGTCATCCTGATGCTGTTCCAGCTGCTGAGCCTGTTTGGTTTGGTGTGATGGTGGTGGTGTGGTGGTGGTGTGGTGGTGGTGTGATGTGTGTGTGTGGTGGGGAGAGGAGAGGGACAACGGACAAGACAGGGACACGACATGAAATGAAACACACCGCAGTGGTGTTGATATGGGAGGGAGTTGCTGAGCGCGTGATGATGCTCCTCCAGTACAACCCCGGGGGGGGTGCGAGGAGGGAAAGACAGGACAGCATTAAACCTGAGCCCACCCTCCCAGAGCTGAACCGAGCGGCTGCACCAGAGCCTCAGTTGAATCTGAGCTGGGCTGAGCTGAGCTGAGCTGAGCTGAGCTGAGCTGAGCTGAGCTGGGTCGGACTGGGCCTGAGTCGCTAGGTCTGTAGTGAGTCGCTGGGCTGTAGTTGCGGAATTCGAGGCCCCGGGTGTACTGCACATGTGGTGTGCTGTGCAGGGGGTTAGGGGTTTCACGGCGTGGCTTCACTGCAGGTGTGTCTGTGTGACTTGAGATGTGTGTCTGTGTGTTAGGTGGTAGGATGCCCGAGGGTGCGCTATCGGAAGGTTTTTCTAGGGGTGCATGTTTATGTGTTTTGTTTTCCTAGGTTCGTCTGTGTGTGTGCCTGTGTGTATGTGTGTGAAGGTTACAAGTATCTGACCGGATTTGACACTGGCCAGGGTCTGCTGCCCAGCCAAAACGGAAAGACCGCCTAAGCTCTCTCCCGCGGACGGGAGAGGGGCGCGAGGGGCCTCTACCCCTCCAAAGCAGCCGAGAGCCGTAGGTCCGCTAGCTCCGCGCTCCTCCCCCCCGGGGATTGGGAAGTGTCGCACGCGCGTGCACGCTCTCACGAGTCATGGCTCCGTCACGCGAATTTGCACACACAGCCTGAAACACGAAACAAGGCTCCTCTCCCTCCCCGGCCTGATCCGGCTTTTCGGGTGAGGTTTCACCTGGAACCCCTGTACGACCCTACCCTCCCTGCTAAGGCACCAGGCGCTATTAGGAAGCTCACCCGGTCTCTCACCCGATTCTCCGTTGCGGGGGGGAGCGGGCAGGGTCTAAGAAACGCTACCTTGCGCTAACCACCTCTCGAGCGCACGCGAGGGGGCCCGCGCACAGACTAGGCTGGCAGCTATCAGTGCACCGACGGGGCTAGGCATCCCTAGCGGCAGCACCACATCGGCACAACTCGCACACAGCGTCCCCAGTCTGCTCGTCACTCCTCCCAAGCCCTGCAGCAGCGACCTCTCGGAAACCCTCCAACTGCCCCTGCCTTGGCGCTACCTGTGGCAAGGGGAGCACTCTCCCCCTCGAAACGGACCTGTGGCAAGGGGAGCACTCTCCCCCTCGAAACGGACCTGTGGCAAGGGGAGCACTCTCCCCCTCGAAACGGACCTGTGGCAAGGGGAGCACTCTCCCCCTCGAAACGGACCTGTGGCAAGGGGAGTACTCTCCCCCTCGAACTCTACCCGGACCCAACAACGAAAACCCCTCAGGCCTATCCCCTCCCCACCCAGCGGGATACCCCATCTACGGGTGTCCAGCCCAACTGGCTTTTCGCAACACAGGCGGCCCTCCACCACCGATGAAAATGTGATGGTCGGCACGATTAGAATTCTGTGGGGGGGCCCACCCTCTGTTCGATCCAGCGCCTGCTTGCGGACATCAGCCCAGAACGGCGAGCGGCGGCAGCAGAGGTCCTGGACCCCACACAGAGCGTGCAGCAGGACTGGGCGCCGAGGACATGGTAGATGCACGACTAGGTGGCCGTGTCGGCTGGCGGCTGGGGGGCTCGCTGCACCTGAAACTGAAATAGCATAGTCACGGTCAAGCTCGCCACACACACCTACAGCTACAGGTGGTCACGGAGCAGTCGCGGGCCTGCATGCATGCAGTGTATGAGCAGGAAGCGAGAGGCAGCAACAGCCGCAGCTGCCAGCTACAGCAGCCACAGCCTCGGCCGCAGCAGTGGCAGCAGCAGCGCCCATGCTGCAGGACTGTTGCATGCCGGGAACACTGCGGGACGGCTGTGGGCGGTCAACAGTGGGAGCGGGAGCACAAGAGGAAACTCTCTGGCGCCCGGCTGTCTACGCCGCTCCCCTGCCCGATAACACGCGCGGCACCATCTACACGGCACCATCTACGTGGAGCCCTGTGGCTGTGGCGGATTCGGAGGAGCGACAGGACAACAACAGCAGGTGCTGCAATGGCCATTTTGTAGAGCACCTTGATGATGCCATCAGTGAACCGGGCGGGCATATGGCCCGTGGGGCCGTATGGAGGGGAGCCAGGAGGGGGGTGCCAGCCACAGACGAAAGGCTTTATACGGCTCCGTTTTTTCTATCCCGGGGCCTTACCGCGCGGCGTGGCTTTGAGGGCTGCTGTCATCTCGGTACTTGTGACAAGCGGCCGCCACACATCACTGTCCGCGTCCTCTGCCTCTGGCCTCTGCTTGGGTTTGCAGACGCCTTCTATTGATGATCATAGCGCTGATGAGCTGTTCCGAAAAGTAAGTAAGTAACAAAAGCGGGGACGGCATGGATTCCAAGGGAATAATTGTGGGCACGGGTGACGGGCGCAGTATTGTGTCCCTGAAAGGTTCCCAAAATCAATCTCGATGGGTGTCCCGCCAGGTAGGGAGTCCTTGGGTCCTCCTCAAGCTGATGGAAGGTTATGGACTCGGTTGTAGTGACCTGCGCGACGATTGGGAGTGGAGCTAACGATGCCGTTGGTCCCCTTGGTTGCTCGTGGTGGTGGTGGGGTTGGTGGTGAGAGTCCTGAACCCGAAATAGTCACCGAATTCGCAGCAGTCGGCACACATGGGTGATGAGGAGGTTGAGGGTGACCCGAAACATCGGGGCAGGTAGCTAGGAACTGCCAGACTAAGTGGTCCCACGGGTTAAGCAAACGTCCTACTTCACGCAACCATAATCCCTGACTTATCACCTGTATTACTTATACACTTAGATATACACATAGACGTATGCTTATTTTATGTCACTGTGACGACTGCAAGGTAGGACGTGCAGCGGTACATATGAAGCGACTGAAGCTATTGCCGCCCCAGCCCCCACGACCCATGGCCCGGCCTTGCAGCCGATTAACGGCCAACGGTAACGGTAGACGGTTGATGTGCCGTGAGAACTGAGTGAGAGCAAACTGAAAACCGCATGTTCGGTGTGCATGAGCTCGGGTCGTGTGATGAACCCCCCAAAAGGGGGGGAGGTGTGTTGTACCATTCCTCTGTACGTCGGGTCTTTATGTACCCTACGGGCGGCGGCCAGGAGCTATAGGGCAGCATGGTGGAGGCGGCTGCGGGGTGGGGGACTTGGGGGAGCACATTCACACAGCGGTGGAGGGATGATGTAAACTGGAAGATACCACTGGCGTCTTGTATGGATACGTAGTAACTGATAAGCCTCCGCGCCTGCGTATTACGCAGAATATGCAAAGCCTATTGTAAGAAAGCTAACTTTTAAGCGAAATTGCACCTCTCATCAACCTCAGCTAGGATTTCGTTAAGAGTGCCGGTGCGATGAGTGTACTAGAATATAAGTGGACTAAATTATATATGTCTGTAAAGTCCTTAGGATGTGCGGTGGCGTTCGAAGATGCGGTCGCGGAAGGCACAACAGGCAGCGGCAGTCCGCCGGTCAGGTGTCAAGTCGCGAGGCCTTGTTTATTTAACATATAGTATGGAGAAAGGGAAGAAAGAAAAAAATATACTTCGTATGTCTGGTGGCACAAGAACCAGTGGACATGACCACCTGCGGGGTGGTGCACTTCTTTTCTAAAGTCACAAAGTCAAAAGTCAAAGAGGACGCGGCGAAAGTGAGCGGGAGCTATGGAGACACACAAACGCAGACACACATACAGACACACACACATGCAAACTGCATGTACACCTTTTGGCGGCCATGTAAGCGATCTGAACTTTGTTCCTGAAGCCCACGGAAGCCGCGTTCTAAACCACCGTAAAAGTTCATTTGTCTCCCGTGCTGGCACACATACATACATGGCCCAAACGCGTAACGCCCACCAGGAGGAGCATAATCGAAGGACACCTACATAGCTCATGGAGGGAGCCAAGGGGCCTTATTCCAGTCACACCGGGTTCGGCCGATACGGTACGACACAGTAGAGCGGTAGAGCAGTAAAAAAACAGTGGCCTTGAGGCCGAAGCGGTTTACCAACGATTGGTGGATAGCCCCCATTAAAGAATAAATGTACTGCGTACTTGGCATTTACGGCTCACAGGCACCCACTAGGTCAGACTTCCTCCTCTCCTTTTTGCCCACATTGCGTCCTTGGTCGCCTGCGTTTTGTTCTGTGTGGTCATCGTCATCACCATCATCATCGTCAGAAGCAGCACAAAGTACGACACGGTACGGTACGGTATGTAAGGACACAACGCGCCCGCAACCCAAAGCAGGAAGCCTTCGACGGCTGGTGATGTCACAGCGTTCGCAACGGTCTGAACAACGCGGAAAAGGAAGCGGCGCGGCTCTTTTAACGAAGGACGTGGCACAAACCCCAAAAAACCCTAATCTTTCTCCCCCTTCCCCCCCACACACTTCCTGAATTTGACTTGTCCCCAACGGCTAATCGCCGCAACCGCCGTTCCATCATATAGGCGATAAAGCCCTTTCTGACATCGCCAGGAAGTCCAGTGGATGATGTTCCATCCCCCCTCTTCAGGAAAGAAAGAAAAAAAGAAAAACTTGACAGACGTCTGATGGCAGGTCCATTCATCCAGGCGCTGCTGACGTCACCCAGCCAGAGACAGTAAAGCGGACATTCCCGGCTGCTCTTGCTGCTGCTCCACTCGCTCCCCTGATCGCCGTCGTCGTAGCATCATCATCATCATCATCATCATCATCACCTTTACCTTCTAGAAGATCGTCCTTCCTGGATTTTCATTAGTTGACGTCACTCCTGTTTGCACGTAGCTCCTTCGTACAGAGATCGCAAACCATGGGCGACAAACCCAAGTACGAACAAGTACGAACAAAATCCAGAACTATTTGTTGTGCTATGATGTGTGTGTGTGCAATGCGCGCATTTTCCCACACGGAAAAAGTGCACGTGGAAGGAACACTCGACGCGCGCGCGGGGCTTGGTCACTGATGCCGCCGAACGCAAAAGGCGTACCATCCTGCACAATACATCTAGTACCTAAAAACACATCCCGCGGGTTGATTATCCACCAACACATGTTTGTGATACTCCGGTATTCTGTCGGCCGTGTGGTACGACACGTCAATACACACACACATACATACACACACATACATAGGTGCGCGCGGAGATATGTGAAGACACGGGGTTTTGAACGCACACACACAGGGGGGGGGTTGCGCTGGAGCCATCAATATGCCTTCGTGTCGTGTCAGGTTGCGTCGTGCCACAAAAACACGTTGACGACGTGGAAGGTACGACGCAGTCATGGAGACGCATCACGCTTGCGCGATATTCCCTGATGGTCCGCTGGGCCGTACAACATCTTGTCGTACCGTCGTACTTGCGTATACTGTTACCAGGAAAAAGAATGCTAAGGTGAACGGCTGCACCCCTGATTTTGAGACGTCCTCAGCAACACCAGGAGACAGCCAGCGGCACTTTTTCATGTACAACAAGTATGGCACCATGCTCTGGGAAGATGCTGCACCGGCACACGCGCCGTCCGGGCTGCAGCAACGCCAAGACGCATCCTCGTCGCCCAAGGGCATCCTGCTTTCTCCTCATACAACACCTAATGCAGAATACGTCCCTCCTGCGTTTGCATAGTATTCTCATTCCCCCAGCACGACCTCAGTAACAACAGTAGCAACCCTGTCGGCCGCCGTACAAAGTAAGCGTACGTGAACGGATGGCGATGATTAACGATACAAGGGCGGTCCCCGATTTCTTTGGAACAGCGTCCAAATACAAGCCCCTCTCCGCTTCTGCTGTTTGTGCTTTGGCGCCGGATCCGGGCAGCGGCGGCGGCGGCGGCGGTTGTGGCGGCGGTGGGAGACCTTGCTGACGTTGCATCGTCAAGGTTACGACAGGGATGCTCGCTCCGCAGTTGGCGTCGATGCCGGCGCTGCCGGCGCCGCCGGCGACGGCGGTTCCTCTGATGGCGCCACTGCCTCCGCCACTGCGCTAGCTGCCGCTGGGCCGCGGCCGCTGCGCCCGGACGGTGCCGCCGCTTCGGCGGCATCGGTTGTGGCGTACCGCTCTGCACGGCTCAGACGTCTGCGGTACATGGCGGCGGTGGCGATGGCCGCAGCGAGAAGAATGGTGCCGACGGGTACGACAACGGCGACGGCGATGATTCCGCCGGTGGAAAGGCTTGAGTCCTTGGAGCGCAGCGTTTGTGTATTCAACCCTTGAAGCTGCGCTGGCGGCGGCGGTGAAGACTTCGCTTGCGAACCCGCCGGCGGCGATAATTCTGAAACCGCCAGTGGCGGCGGTGACGACGACCGAGATGGCTGCAGCGTCGGCGTCGGCGTCGTCGGCGGTGGCGGCGGCGGCGGCGGTGACGGCGGTGCCGACGCAGTGCGGATGACCAAAGACTCCACGTCGGTGATGCTGTACGTGTCCCGGAAGGTCTCGGAGAAGAGGCTAGCGGGTGTGGTGGTGTTGATGGCGCCGATGAAGTCTTCGACCGGCTGATCCGACGGCGCCGTCAGCAATGCGCTGAAGATGATGCTGCCATCGCGCAGGTCCGCGACGGTGCAGTTGATGGCTTGAGTGTTGTTCTGTTTGGGTGGGGAGTGCGGGTGGGGAGCACAAGGGGAGAGAGAGTGTGTTTGTGTATGTGTGTATGTGTGTCTTGGAGGGAGGTCACGGGTTTTGCGTGTGTGTGCGTGTGTGTGTATGTGTGTATGTGTGTGAGAGAGAGAGCAACCACGGGCAAGTGGGTGTAGCCGACGAGGACTTTGGGGGGGCGGGAATATACGAGGTGAACGCAGGCAAAGGGAAGTGGGGTTGGGCCGTAGTAGCACCATAGCGGCGGGGAAATGTCCTCCGGCGGGGAAATGTCCACCAGCATATCCTAGCTCTGTTATTAACCTTGTGGTACCACAGCCTCAGATTAGCTGATCCCTTTGACCAATCTCTAAATTGCTGAATTTCGTGATAAAAGATAAGTACGGAAGCTCGAAGGCATGGGTATGACAGGGAAATACGGCAGTTCCTACAAGACTGCAGGAAGAAGCTTTTGGCTGTTGGGGCAAAATGATGATGATGGTGATGATGATGGTGATGATGATGATGGTGATGATGATGATGGTGATGATGATGGTGATGATGATGGTGATGATGATGATGATGATGATGATGATGATGATGATGATGATGATGATGATGATGATGATGATGATGATGATGATGATGATGATGATGATGATGATGATGATGATGA